CTTCTCCAGACTAAACACCCCCAGTTCCCTCAGCCGCTCCCCGTATGACCTGTGCTACAGACCCTGCACCAGCTTTGTTGCTTTTCTCTGGACACGCTCGAGTCATTCCATGTCCTTTTTGTAGTGAGGGGCCCAAAATTGAACACAGGAATCGAGGGGCAGCCTCACCAGTGCCGAGTACAGGGGTCAGATCCCTTCCCTGTCCCTGCTGGCCACGCTATTGCTGACACAAGCCAGGATGCCATTGGCCGCCTTGGCCACCTGGGCACACTGCTGGCTCCTGTTCAGCCGGCTGTCAATCAACACCCCCAGGTCCCTCTCTGACTGGCAGCTCTCCAGCCACTCCTCCCCAAGCCTGTAGCGCTGCTGGGGGTTGTTGTGGCCCAAGGGCAGCCCCCGGCATTTGGCCTTATGGAAACTCCTCCAGTTGGCCTCAGCCCATGGCTCCAGCCTGTCCAGGTCTCTCTGCAGAGCCTCCCTGCCCTCGAGCAGATCAACACTCCCACCCAACCTGGTGTCATCTGCAAACTGACTGAGGGTGCCCTCGATCCCCTCGTCTAGATCATCATTAAAGATGTTAAACAGGAGTGGCCCCAAAACCGAGCCCTGGGGGACACCACTTGTGACCGGCCGCCAACTGAATTTAGCTCCATTCACCACAACTCTTTGGGCCCGGTCGTCCAGCCAATTTTTTACCCAGCGAAGTGTGCGATTGTCCAAACCTCGAGCAGTCATTTTTGCCAGGAGAATGCTGTGGGAAACGGTGTCAAAAGCCTTGCTAAAATCAAGATACACAACATCCACAGCCTTTCCCTCATCCAGTAAGTAGGTCAGTCTGTCATAGAAGGAGATCAGGTCTATCAGGTAGGACCGTGCTGACTGGGCCTGAGCATCTGGTTGTCCCTCATGTGTTGCATGATGGTGTTTAGGATGAGCTGCTCCATCAGCTTCCTGGGCACCGAAGTCAAGCTGACAGGTTTGTAATTTCCTGGATCATCCTTCCAACCCTTCTTATAGACGGGCGTCACACTGGCCAATTTCCAATCTGTCGGGACCTCCCTGGTCAGCCAGGACTGCTCATAAATGATGGAAAGCGTCTTGGCGAGCACCCCAGCCAGCTCCTTCAGCACCCTCGGGTGTATCCCATCCGGTCCCATAGACTTGCATATGTCTGTCTGATGCAGCAGGTCACTGACTGTCTCCTGGATTGCGAGGGGTCATTCTCCCAGTCTCTGTATTCTGGCTGAGGAGGTTGGATTTCATCAGTACAACTAACCTTGTTATTAAAGACTGAGGCAAAAAAGGCATTAAGCACCTCAGCCTTCTCCTCATCACTTGTTACCAAATTTCCTCCTGCATCTAGCAGGGGATGGAGACTCTCCCTGGACTTTCTTTTGCTACTGACATAGAAACTTTTCTTGTTATCCTTGATTGCAGAGGCCAAATTACTTTCCAGTTGGGCTTTAGCCCTCCTGATTTCCACCCTGCACAGCCTCACAGCCTCTTTGTGATCACTGTGTGTGGCTAGCCCCTTCTTCCAAAGGCTGTAAACTCTCCTTTTCTCCCTGAGTTGCAGCCAAAGCTCCCTGTTCAGCCAGGGTGGTCTTCTCTGGCGTCGGCTTCTCTTAGAGCACCTGGGGACCGCCTGCTCCTGAGCCATTAACAATTCCTTCTTAAAGAGCGCCCAGCCTTCCTCGGACCCTATACCCTTCAGGAGAGTCTCCCAGGGGATCCTTTCAAGCAGGTGCCCAAACAAGACAAAGTCAGCCCTTCTGAAGTCCAGGATGTCAGTGCTGCTTAGCTCTCTCCTGATCTCTCTAAGAATAGAGAACTCTATTATTTCATGATTGCTGTGCCCTAGTCATCCTCCAACCTCCACATCATCCACCAGCCCTTTTCACAAAGAGGAGATCCAGCAGGGCACCTTCTCTGGTCGGTTCACTCACCAGCTGCATCAGGAAGTTGTCTCCCACACATTCTAGGAATCTCCAGTACTGGTCTCATTCTGCCATGTTGTATTTCCAGCAGATGTCTGGGAAGTTAAAGTCGCCCACAAGAACGAGGGCAAGCAATCATGAGATTTCAGCTAAATACCTATAAAATATCTCGTCCATCTCTCTGTCCTGGCTGGGTGGCCTGTAGTAGACTCAACTACTACAACATCTGCCCTGTTGGCCTTCACCCTGATTCTAATGCAAAGACACTTCACCCTGTCTTCACTACACCTGTGCTCAAAGCAATCATAACAGTCCTTTACATACAGAGCACCCCACCACCTCTCCTTTCCTGTCTGTCGCTCCTAAAGAGCTTGTAACCATCAATTGGCACACTCCAGTCATGGGAGACATCCCACCATGTTTCTGTAATAGCCACTACATCGTACTTTTCCTGTTTCATCATGGCTACAAGCTCTCCTGTTTGTTACCCATGCTGTGTGCATTGGTATACATGCACTTCAGATGGGCCGATGTTTTGCCCCCTTCCCCCTTCAAATCTAGTTTAAAGCTCTGTCTACGAGCCCAGCTAACTCCTGCCCCACTATCCCCTTCCCTCTCCGGGACAGGTGCATTCCGTCTAATGTCAAAAGTTCAGGTGCCCTGTATACCAACCCATGACTGAAGAATCCAAAGCCCTGATGGTAACACCAGTCTTGGAGCCACCCATTCATCTGCTGAATTCTCCTGTTATCTTCCTCATCCATCCCCCCCAACCAAAGGGATGGAGGACAACCCAATTTGTGCCCCTAACCCCTTAAGCATTTTTCCCAAGGACCCGAAGTCATGAGAGGGACTCCTTCTGGTACTTAGCATCTTTTTTTCTCCAGCATCTAGGTAGTATTAGAGAAAAAGGTATGACTCCTTCAATAGAACATTGAGTATTCAGAAATAAATACCATTGTTCCCCAGTGATATCAGGACAGGCAATATTTTGAATTTTTCTTGTCTTAAGCTAATCATTTGCATGTTTATGGATGAGAGACTGGGGAAAATTAATGATTCTTACAAGCCTTTGTCCCTTCTTTTGGGCAGTATCCTGCCTGGCTGGACTTTTAACTGACTATTTTAACAGTATATTTCTTGCAGGCTGTTTAGAAATAATCTTTTTTTGTTTGTTTTGTTTTTATTTAGTTGTTTGCTCTTCATAATTCATTGGTGGTAGTTTTTGCTTCTGAGTACTAGCAGAGTACTGAAGACTTGAATATGTTTCCCTTGATCTAAAGGGAATATATTAAGGGATAATTGTTATTACACTAAATCCTTCAACTATAATTAACCTGTTTTCTCCATGAACTGACAGCTCCTCACTAACAGTTGGACTAAAAGCCTATCATAACTAGAGTCTATTATGGCACGTAATAGACACAAAGGTGGCAACAGATTCTGGCATCTCCTCTAGAGCTTTGTAGTCATTCAAAAGGATGCTGTTAAATATCCATACACCTTATATATGTTATTGAATACTTTTAGTCCTAAGTGTAATTTAAAACAGGAATCAGAGTTAGATTGTTTAATTATGCAGCAGCACTCTTAAAAACCATGTTTAGAGCATTTTAAGCTTTTCTGTCCTATCATTTTCACAAGGAAAGACAATATATTCTTGTAATGTGTATGTCTAAATCAAGCAGTTCTTAAGGCACCCTAAGAAAAATGGAAATTTCAGAAGCATCTGGATGAT